CTGCTGCTGCTGCTGCAGCAGCCGCTCTATGTCTGGCAGGGGAACGTCTGCTCCCGCCCCCATCGAAGCCAGCAGCAGAGACAGCCACAAACCCCCTTCTTTGTTGCTGTCTCCTTCTCTCTCTGTGCATGCATATCAACACAAATTAGGGTTTAGGGTTTAGGGTTTAGGGTTTGGGGTTTAGCGCTGTTTAGGGGGGGGAGATATGCAGGAGGTTAGGGTTTAGGGTTTAGGGTTTAGGGTTTAGGGTTTGGGTCTCCTTGCGTGCACTGTCTCTGTCTCTGTCTCTTTCTGTCTCTTTCTATTTTTTTCTGTCTCCTTTCTGTCTCCTCACTGTCTCCTTGTATCTATACTGTCTCCTTCTGTCTCCTTTCTGTCTCTTTTTGTCTCTTTCTGTCTCCTTCTGTCTCTTTCTATCTACTGTATTGTCTTTTTCTGTCTCCTTTGTTTCTTTTTGTCTCTTTTTGTCTCTTTCTGTCTCAGAAGAGACAGAAAGAGACAGAAAGAAACAGAAAGGAGACAGAGACAAAAGGAAAAAGGAGACAGAAGGAAAAAGGAGACAAAAGAGAAAAGGAGACAGAATAAAAAGGAGACAGAATAGAAAGGAGATAAAAGAGAAAAGGAGACAAAAGAGAAAAGGAGACAAAAGAGGAAGGAGACAAAAGAGAAAAGGAGACAGAAGGAAAAAGGAGACAAAACAGAAAAGGAGACAGAATAGAAAGGAGACAGCTAGCATACCATAGTGAGAGAGAGAAGAGGGCCCCAGGGTTGGGGGGCCCCCCTGGCTGGGGGGGGAGACAGCGGGGGGCCCCTCGCTGTCTCCTGTGCTGTCTCCTTGTCTTTGTGAACACCCCACACCCACTGCTGCCGCACGCAACAAACCCGCTGTCTGCAACACAAACCCTAAACCCTAAACCCTAAACCCTAAACCCTAGACAAACACCCACTGCTGCCGCACGCAATAAACCCGCTGTCTGCAACTCAAACCCTAAACCCTAAACCCTAAACCCTCATTCAAATGTTTATATATATATATATATATATATATATATATATATATATATACATATTTATATATATATAATACACATAAAAGTATATAATATATATAATATATAACAGACACCATATAAACAATTATTATAAATATATAAAATAATATACTATTACAAATACATAGTAACCCTAAACCCTAGACCCTAAACCCTAAACCCTAAACCCTAAACCCTAAACCCTAAACCCTAAACCCTCGATTCAAGTGTCTGTGTCTTTCCTGTTCAACAACAGAGGTCCATCTTTCTGCATAAGCAACGAGAGCATCTGCTTCTGATATAAACCTCGCTGGGGGCCCCCCTGGGGGGCCCCCTGGGGGCCCCCCTGGGGGCCCCCCCCCCCCC